GTTATATTTGTTGAATAAAAGAATAAAGAGTTATTATTGAAACAGGGCCCCCAGAGTGATCTCCCACTTGCTAATTAATTATTCCTTCATTGAACTATTGAGTACCTGCAGAATATTTGGTCCTAAATCAAAGACTGCCAGGGCCCCAGGGAGATGTGCTGGCCGGCCCTGTTCTCACAGCCCAGCCACCAAGTCGGAGAATTAATAACTTATCATCTGAAAGTGAGTTAATTCCCTCAGGAGACCATGGTGTAATCAAACCCCTCTCTCCTCCCCTCCGGGGACAGAGACAGGCATCAAAATAATCGCTTCTACTTCCAGTACACTTTCTACTTTATTAGCAGGCCAGACCCAAGCCACCTCCCCACAGGAACGACCAGAATTGCCTTGAGGTCTAAGTGCTTGGGCTGCGCTAATGGGAATTAATTTGTTAATGACACTTGATCTGGCTTTCTGAATGGCAGTGCTGCTTCTGAGAAAAGAGTGACAGAAAGGAGAGGACCCACAAGCCTCCCTTTGGAAATCCAGTGAATCCAGTTAACACCGTGTCATCTGCAAGGCAGGAAACCATCCTTCACAGAGCAGCCGCTTCCTGCAGAAAGGGAGCTTGGTTTCAGTGTATGAGTGAAATCTCCTAGCAGCATGGGCTGTGGTTGAGAGTGAGGATGGAAAGACAAGGATAGATATGTTCCAAAGTAGAAGCAAAAGGAAGGAAAGGAAAGGCAACATTCCTAGGTTTTTTAATTTGAGCAACTGAGTAGATGACGGTACCGCTCACTGAGGTACGAACCAGGTTGAGGAAGTGGCTACAAAATAAAGAAACCTTTTCCGAGTATGCTGGGTCTGCAATGTCTTAGTCATCTAAGTGCAAGTGTCAAGTTAGATATATGTGTCTGGAGCTCAAGAGAGAGGTCAGGACAGAGAAATAAATTTGAGAGCCATCAGCACATAAGTGATATTTAAAGGCATGGATCTGGGTGAGATCATCTAGAAACAGAAGAACGAGGCCTTAGAGGTCAGGTAGCTATAGATGTAAAAGGGATTGTGAAAGACCTGCGTGGGAGCCCAGAGGAAGCTGGGCGATGAAGTACAAATGTCTGGGAGAGAAGGGAGAAGCGGGCAGCCCCCTAGAATGCTGCTTAGAGCTCAGGAAAGGCCAGCAGAGAGGAGATTCAGGGCTTGGCAACCCCAAGTCATCAGCCACCTTCACAAAGGCCAGGCTGGAATAAGAAGAACAATGGCCATACGCTGGTGGAAGAAATTATTTTTGAGGCAGCAGCCGGTGGTCAGAACCAGTAAGTATAGATGATTTCCTTCAGAAATGTATCTCCCAGAAACATACTGGAAGAAGATGGAAGTCAAGAGAAGTATTCTTAGTAGGAGAGGAAAGTGCATGATTGTATGTAAGCCAGTGCATGGTGGTCGTTCCATAAAATTAGTTGTGAGAGAGGGGAGATGAGGGGAGGGTGGGTCTAGTCAGAGATGAGGGTCCCATCTAGCCTCCCTCCTTCGCTGGTGGGTGCAGGCTTCTTCTCCCTGTGTCTTCATAAGTTTCCTCTGCGTGTGTCTATGTCCAGAGCATCTCAATTGAAGCCCAAAGGTCCCCACTCTACTCTCTGAGACCTGGCAGAAATCAATGCCAGTGGGCCCTGGGCCCAGGCAGGTGTTCTCTGTAGGAGTCTTCAGCCAAGCTGAGCTCCTGTTGTTCTGCTGGAAGTCCGGCTGAGGAGCATAAGCTCAGACACAATCTGCCCCTAAATTCTCAGATAGGCAACTGGGGATCAGAGGTGCAGTTGAGTTCATCAACTGTCTCTCCTTCCAGAAAAGGCCCTTGATCCTTCACCACATCTCAGCCACAGCTCCCTTCTGTGAGCTCCCCAGGCATCCAGCCTGCCCAGGACATCGACAAGGTGGAGCTCAACAGGGTCCAGGAAGCACCAGCCTGACACAGCACATCAGCAGTAGTCAGCTCTGTCTGCCACAGAGACCCTGCTCTCCCTCTGCGCCCCATGTGAGCATCTCACACAAGGGTCACTGAGAATTGGGTGCAGGAAGATCATGCAAACCATCATCTCTGTGGGCAGCCTGATCATCCACATCCAGAGCCGAGTGCCCTCCCAAGGTGCTGGATGCTGGGACGGCAAGAGCCACCGGATTGCCATTGCCTACCCTGCTCCACACCAGTCTGGTTGGGAGAACAGAATAAGCAGAGTTGTCAGGGGAAGAATAGCTAGGATAAGACCAAAGGCATGTCTTCCACAGAACCCCTGAGGGCTGGAGGCCCTCATCCCTCTGCCTGTCATCACCCAGGAAGGATCTCGATGTCATGATGGACTTGAAGCTAAACCCAGGTGGGCGGAAGTCAGTGAGACTGGGGCTGACCAATGACGTCAGGATCACCCAGAGAATGTCTCTAAAAAAAAACCCCCAAACCAGCTCCCTGGATGCCAGTGATTTTCCAGGAGGCAGGAGTGAGGCCGAAGAATCTACTTTTTAAAGCACTCTCATGCGCAGCCCAGACTGAGACCCACTTATTCAGATCTTTGCAGCCACGGTGCACGGAGGTCCCCCTTGTGCGTGACCACATGCTGGGCACCTCCTGTCCCTCACTGCTGTAAGTCTTTACATAGCCTGTGGGTCAGGGATTTCATCCCCACAGAACAGAGTAGTCCGTGTCCCACACAGGCTGAAGTGGTCGCCCTCTTTAGATGTGGGCCGCAGTGGCGCTGGACAGACAGAGGGGCATCACCTTCCCAGGCTGACCTCGGCAGAGACAAGCAGACAGGGTGGGCCTCCAGGGGGCCGTGCACATCCTTCAGGACCTCCCTCCCTGCTAGTCAGGGAGCTGTGGCCTTCCTGAACCCAGGAGGAGCCAACACCGTTTTCCTGGCCTGAAAATTTAATTAGTCATTCGGCCTTGAGTCTGGAAGACTACAGTGCTTGTCAATTTGTAGGAAAAGGATGGCCAGCTCAGAGAGCACCCCGCCCCTTGAGCCCACTGGCTTTCCTGGGTGCTGCTGTGGAGATCCTGAGAACAGACTTCGCAGGCAGATGCCTCCGTTTACACAGTCTCGTAAATATTTATCCCCAGCAGCCAATTAGAGCTGAGCCACTGCTTTCAAGGAGGGAGCTGACAGAAGGCAGCCGTGTCTGCAGAAGGCCTCGGTCATGGTTTACCAGAACCATTCGGGGTGGGGCATTTTGCTATTTAAATATTGCCATCCAGAGCCAGAAAAGTCTGCTGATTTTAAAACCAATTACACATTAGCAATAACAGCATCTCTGATTTAATTGGCCCAGAAATACCTTCTGGGATCTCAAGACTGAATGTTGTTTCTCTCTGGGGTGGGGGTAGGGTGGGTGCTGGCACCAGCGCCTTTCTCCCAGGCAGAAGTATGAGGCTTTTATGGACAAGAGCATCCAGAGCAGAGGCTCAAGGTAAGAGCCTGGCCACCTCGCACTGCATGCAGAAGGGCCATTGGTGGGGCTGAAGGCAGGTGGCC